TATAATATATTAGATAGTAGTTCAACATCTTAACACTCGACCGAAAAGGCGCTTTGTATTTAAAGTCTTAATATAAAAAAATAAATAATAAATAAATAAAGTTCAGTGTCGCAACATTTTTAACGCGCGGAAATCAGCAATTATGATAGATCTCGACGTATAGCCTAATGTTGTATATGCGATAGTGCGTCAAAACGATGTTAAGATATTATACATAGTCAAGTGCTAACTGAAAAAACCGGAAAAGGAAGGGAACTCATAAGAAAAAGCAAACTTAAAAACTAGACACGCCGCAGTTAAGAAGTAAAGTGCTCACTCACCAACACACTCGAACAAGCAAATGAGAACCACTGTAATGTATAACAGGTTTTTTTTTATTCATTTTATTTTACATCTGAGGAGGGCTCAATCCAGCAGCCGAAACTTGTAATCGTTTTATATATTAATATACGCCGTTCTACTTTTTCTTATTTTATGTATCTATGACTATGATCTTTAATTAAATGTATTATGCGTCGACTCTTTTTCGCCGTTCACTTTGTTTATTTTGTTTATAGATAAAGAGTCTTTACACCGTTGTTATTTTCTTTTTAAATAAGTACTGTATATAAAATATAACTGTATGTAAAATATAACAGATGACTTTTGAATATTACAATTAGCAATAGATTAACGATGTTTTGATGATTGAGCGTTTACTTATATTAATTGATTTCATGGATTGGTACCAAACTTTATTATATTTTACACACTGAAGAAAATCCAATACTAGGGTTGAAACGTATGTATCATATTTTTAATATTATATATGCATTGAATTACACACGAAGAACTGGTGTTGACTCATATTGGCATTTTTTCCTACATCTACGTATTTATTCTTTAATTTATTTGGAGAGCTTTTTTCTTATTATTTTTAATTTATTATTCATTATATAGATGTTGTAAAAACTAAACTTGTAGGTAAACGTTTTATAATGTAGTTTTTATACTGATTTTATAAACATTTAATTGATTGTTATTTCTAACGTTTCCTACAGGAACACTTATAACGTATTAAAAACATTTACTTCTAACCATTACTGACATTTTTTCAATAGTTTTTTAACATTTTTGTGCTACTTAGGTCGCTTTGTCTATTCAAACCTGCTGTCTACTTTTTTATGTATTATTTTAGACACCATTCTTTTCACATGAGAACTATCTAATATGTAGACATTATCCCAATCGAATTCATGTTGTTCGGTCATTCTATGTTCTGATATAACTGACGAGGAGTCACTTTTTTTATTTATATCTTTTATATGTTCTTTAACTCTTATTCCTAATTGTCTTTTTGTCTGTTCTACGTATGTCGATTCACAGTCAAAACATTAAATTTTGTAAACTATATTACATCTAGACACTTTATTTAATATATCTTTTCGATTTTATAATGTTATTCAATTTTCTGGGGATAGTGAATGATGTACGATAATTCATTTTTAGCAATATTAACAAATTTATTCGATATTTGTTCAATATAAGGTGTAGTAAAGAATTTTTTATAAGGTAATATACCATTTGTTTTATTAATGTTATTATTTTTGTTAATGTGACATTTAATTGTCCTAAATATAAAACTTAATGTATAGCAATTTAAGTAATAGTAAATTATTAATTATTTGTCTGATATTTTTGGAATGAAATTTTGAATGTACTATTATCATTACTTTATCTATCACTCCTATGATGATGTCTTTTTTATGTGCTATGAGTGATGTAAATAGAAATTTAAATATCTGTTAGACGCCGTGTCTTTTTTAAAAGTATCAAATATAATATGTTCTTCATCCCTAATTAATTTAATGTCTAGAAAGCTTAATTGTTTGTCATGTTCTATCTCCACTGTAAACTGTAACCGTTCATGTATTAAATTAAAAGTCATTAATGTTTTATCCACTTTGTCATTAGGAATAGTCATTAAAATATCGTTCACATATCTATAAAAAAACGGTATACCAAATAATTTATTTAAGGTCAGTGTTTCACTTCCTGCAATATCAGATATTATGGACGATATAGAAGATTCCATAGGCACACTATAAATCTGTTTATAGTATACATCGTTAAAAGTAAAATAGTCGAGTGTATTATTAAGTTTATACCTATTTTTAATTCGTCCAATGGTATTTTTATTAATATGAAGCCATCTATTTTCAATACTTCTTATAGCTAGTTTTATTGGCACATTGGTGAACGATGTTACATCCAATGAAATGAGAATGTGTTCTTTATTAATATTCAAATTATTTAATTTATCTACTAGATGTTTGCTATTTTTTATAAAACTTTATACCTTTGGGATACTATCACTCACATAATTCTATTTAAATAACACAAGCAAATCTACATAGTGGACTATTAATAGTCGCAATTATGATACTCAATGCCATGCCTTGTTTATGTATCTTAGGAATGTCATATGCCCTAGGTAAAATACTATCAATTGTCAATATATTATTATATGTCATTTGATCAATGTCTTTTTGTTTCCATCTACTAATAATAGATTTTAAATCTCTTATTAACTAGATTTTTTTTGTATTATTTCATATGTGTTAACGTCGTTATGCATGTTTACCACCTTTTCATCATAATTACTCCTATCTAAAGCCACCAAAATTTCTTTTATCTGCTTTCGTGATTAATATGCCAAGATATTCTCTAACAAATTTTGTTGTATGTGTTAAACATTTTGAAATAAATTTTTCATTTGTATCTAAAGAGCAATGACTGTGGTATAACTCATGTGTGATGATTATTGATTCATTCCTTATGGCGTTTTTCATTCCTATCGTTAGTTTACAAATATTTCTTTCTACATGTTTAATGAATTCTATAATCATTCTTTCTTTTTTATTTTTAAATATAGATAAACCAAATTTATCACCTAATTGCAACAGAATTTGCACTTCAGATGGAATGTCCATATCACTCATATTGATGAACCATTTTAACCGTATCTACTTTAGATTCAACATTCCAATCCATACAACACAAAATTTGCAGCAATATCGCTGCAAAATCTGTTATAAGTATTGCTGCAATAAGTAATGTCGTTGTAATATTGCAGCAGTGTTGCTGCAACTTTTGTGCAACTTCGTGCTTTAGAATAATGCGTCCATTTTAAAGTTGTACGATGCTTATGATATTTGCGACGATACGAGATATGACTAATGTAGATTAGGCTTCAATTGGCTGTAGGATAGAGAGGTTCTCAGATCTATCTGTTCTACAGCCAATCAACAGACTTGAAATGCCTTGTCGTACGACACATGAAATATCAAGCTCGGCACAAAGATATGGTCGCAGCAAACTTTTCATAACGCATAACGCATAGTGTATAATAAAATCAAAGTTCCTTTTTTCCATTAAATGGAAGAAAAGGAAAGATTCTGATTGGTTGATTCTCTTATGCACTATGCGTTATGCAAAAGTCTGTGCTGCAGCCAATAGTCGTAACTAAATTGCGAAACGTGAGTAGTCGTAAGTCAACGCACAATGTTTTGTCTATCTATAATTACGACTTAGGCGGAGTCTACAATGGAAGTTGTTAAAAAAAATAAAGGGTCCTCTACGTAGAAATCATAGACGGTTGTGGAGTCTTAAATCGTAGGAAACCAATATCATAATCAAATATAAGAAGAATACTCGATTAGAATTGGTCAGTTTTCTTCGACTTAAGACTCTACGACCGTTATGACTTCTATTGTAAACTCCGTATTACATTCCACGACTCAAACGTTTTGTGCTTAGGCCCTACGACCTATTTTACATTGGTCATATCATAAGCATTGCAGGTCGTTCAAAGCTTGTATCAGCCAAAGCGCCAATTTTAAAGTCGCACAATGCTTGCGACGCTACGCTCTTTTTTCGTAGCATTCATGATGAGCTCATCATCGCGTTTATTAATAAAAAATTCTTACTTATTGGTTAATTAAGTTGAATAATTGTGCGATCAATGATTTGATAAGGTAACTGATTGATTATAAGCATAATGTCTGATATCAGTAAAATGAAAGTTGTTATTTGCTTACAAAATTGTAGTAATTCATGTGCATTCTCAGTCGAGACTGTTAAATAAACTCAAATATAAAATAATTACATGTTATAATAATTTTAATATTTGAGTTTATTTGTTCACAAAGAATAAATACTGTCAGTAAAATTAAACGTTATAAGTCGCGTGTCATTTGGAATAGAAATAGCAATGCGTAAATATTTCAAACACAGTATGTAATATCTTCTCAAAATGCACATATTTCTTCTCTTAATTTTATATATAAATATTTTATATGTATTGTTCTAATAATATCTGTATTTTAAATTTTAGGGGAAATTAGTCTCCTAACATTACAAAATAAAATAGACTTGGAAAATTCTATTTGTGTAACTCCAACTGGCTACTTAATACTCTCTTTATTGACGGATGATTATCAAGCTCTTGGTTTAGAAGGGAAACCCTCTGTCTTCAGTCATAAATCTCATACACGATACGGTAAGTTTCAAGTTAATAATGCAATAGAATAAAATTGTGTAAACAATTTTTTGCGGTAATTTTTTAAGTATCAACATTTAAAGTTTCTTCGGTCAATGATCGAACAAATAATAAGATATAGAAATTGATTAATTAATACATTCATTATACCGAGTGTTTTAGATCATCTGTACACCCCATTTAAAAACGAGGGAAGTGATTATTTTGAAAAATGTTTCAGACAAAAGTTGTTGAGGATCAAGTAATGCATTACATGGGCATATGCGATTGACCTCGGATAGTGTCATGAAGGTTATATTGGGGTCGACTTGAATTTTTTTAATAGGAACTGATATCTTTCATTGCATATTCTTGTAGCTGATGTCAAGACATTTTTGAAACACTGATTACAAACCCTTTTTGAGATTTCGAAATTTCAGGATCGCTGACATTACCCAAGATGTACCGTATGGAGGTCGCATGATCGGATTCTTAATTAAGTACCCCGAAAATCCGATCGTGCGATCTTTACGCGGTACATCTTGAGTAATGCTAACGCATAGTGATCTGGCGCGTAATTTTAGGCAGAATAAATTAATATAAGCTATATTTTCATGATATTATTGCTCAGACTGATTGATCGCGATATCAATTTTGATTCCGATATCTCTATAGGAAATAGAGATCTCGGGGTCGAAATTGATGTCGGTCTGAGCAATAATATTATAAAAACATAGCTCATATTAATTTATTCCACCTAAAGTTACGTTCGAAAGTCATCACCACTCTCACAAGGGGCCATTTCGGTTTGTACAACAAATTAGTGAAAATTCTTGATATCAGTAGAAGTTGACGATATAAGATGTAAATTAAGAAAAAAGACAAAAGCGTATAGGTCGTAAGACCTATTCAAAGAAATTTAGTGTTATAGTGCATGATAAAAGTTCTAGAACGGTTAATATTTCAAAAAATATTGATTTATCTAAAAAATGTTTGAAACAAAAGTAATAGGGTTTTAAAAACATTATCAGATGATAATATTAATTTGACCTTGGAATGTTCTTGAAAAGTGCTTTCAAAAATCTTAAACGGAACTCATTTTTTACAGCATATTTTTATAGCTGACGTTGAGACGTTTCCAGAACACTAGTTACAAATCTTTTCTTCATAAAAATAGAGCTCAGAATACCCGAATACTCGAGTACCCGCCCGTTCGCTCTGTTACCCGTGCACACGGATCTGGACTGGTTCCGCGGGCATCCGCTAATTCGGGTACCCGAAGAACGGATAATGTGGAATCCCCTTGATACGGATATCTGTGGAATCATATACAATACGGGTATCCACCTCAATGCGAGTATCCGCTATATGCTACAGATCATATTTGTGCATAACTTTAATTTTAAAGATTTGTGTTTTAGAATTATTTATAGTGATTCTTATTTTGTTTGTAGTTAATTAGTTTAAATTATGTTGTAATTTTTTAAATATTTGACTACAAACGAAAGAAAAATCTCTACAAACGATTTTGAATCAAGATATGTTAATCCAGAGATATGGTAATAACTCGGCACTAAGGAAACGCATAACGTTTTAGCGCGAGACATTACCAGGTATCTTTACGCGGAGCAATGAGTTTTTTGAGATCTCGATTATTATATCTTAATAATAGCTGTGCTGATCAAATTTTATGCATGGTCAATCGATAGCTTGTACCCGAATTCTGTAATAAAAGTGCATTTTTTTTGCCTTACGAGTGGAGATATTGCAATAAGTTCCAAATTTTGTTCAAATTTTAAGAAACGTTTTTGTCAACATCATCTGCCTAACCCATGGATTACGTCTCGAATTTCAGTCGACGAGATGGCAATCTCAAGCTTTTTACTTTACTCTTTAATAACTCTTTAACAAACAATGACTGCTAAAATTGTCCGATAGTCACTCAGAGTCATGACCTTGACAATATAAGTCAAGGTCATTTTAATTTTTTCTGATAACTTTGTAACACGTGATGAGTTAATGTTACAACCTTTCGAAGGTTGTTCGGTGATGATTTTCATAGTGTGGGGGAGGGTCAAGAACAGTGGAGGTGAACTGTTTATTTTAATTTTAATATCTTCTTAATAGACAACGGTCTACTGAAAGTGACTGATGGTCACTCAGGGTCATGACCTTGACAATATGAGTTGTTACAAAATGGTAGAGGACTTTTCGACTCAGTTTAATCCGCTCTATCTACACTGAGAAAAAAATTTATTTTATAAAAAAAAATTATTTGACTCAACAAAATGCTGCGTCGAATACGTGTAAATAAATATCAATGTAATAAGAGCAATATATTTTGTTAAATTACTGATGATTTTAAGTTTGGCTCAACCAAATTAAGATACTGTAGACAAAATGTTTATCTGATTTCAGAGTATATTTAATTGAATAGCAATTTATTTTGATAATCCATTAAATAGCATTAATTGAGACAATAAAAGGATGTGTATGTCAAATAAAAATTATAATAAAACAATCAAATTTACATTTAAAATAAATACATAACGTTTACACCCAATTTCTTTACAGTTGAAATTTGTACAGAACAATATTACTGTCAAAGGGTATAGCAGGATAAGGAGGTGATTTCAGGCCCCAGCACGTAATCAATTGCTACAGAGGACAAAATTAACACACTGATGAAAGAATATTTTGTGCAAAGTTTCATCCCAAAAGAACCACACCATTTCGAGATATCGAACAAAATGTGATTTTTTATTAGTATTTTTTTTCCGTTAAATCTAAACGGATCTTTACAAAAAAATCATATAATGGGTATCAAAAAGATTAGATTAAGAATTTTTTTATCATTCTTGGCTCAAAATTCTGTTTTTAAAAAATTCAAGAATTTTTAAAATTGCATTTTTTATATGATATGAATGTTTTATTACTTTTAAAATATTTCAGCAGCTGAATCTAATCTTATCATAAATTATATTCGTGATGATTTTTTCAGATTTTTAGATTTGGCGGAACATACCAAAAAAAAAATTAAAACCATTTTTTCGCCATTTTCCGACATAAAATATATTAGTTTATTATTCATAATATATGAATAATAAAATTATGAATATACTATTATAAATAATAGTACTTTATAATATTAGTAACAGAATACTTTTAAACATAGTGAAAGACATAGGTCAAAAACTTTTAACAATTTTAAACTAATGTCATCCCTGAGACCGAGCGTCGCGCACTACGACAAAACAATAATGAAGTGAGGAATGGTAATAGATTTGAATACTGACACATTCGATTTCAAGCCAAAAACATCGATCTTTTTATATTGTCGTAAATTTGCATTAAACCGTCGAACGAAAATATTCTTGACAGCTAGTATAAGTTGACTAAAAGTCGCGTTACGATTCCTTTTTGTCAGTGATATCAAGCATACTGCATAAGGTAAATGAATGTACAGTAATCCCCTTCAATTGTCACCTGCACAATTGATTGAAACCGTCCCCGTGACATTTGTAGTCTATTTTATTGGTTTTCTTGAAGATCTTGCAATTGTGTTCAAAGTTATTTAAACACAAGAGTTAACAATATTTTGCCATTTAAGTTTTTCAAACTATACTTTTCAGTTTCTATTGAGGATTTTCATTTAACACCGACACTCGTCAGACCGACAATTGTCAGTCAGATTATAGTACTTATTCCAATATTCATTGATTATGGAAGAGTAATTATCTACGAGGTAATATTTTATTCTTTTATTAATAAAGCTTTTTTTTTGCTATTTCTGATACATTTTTTACTATTGTTAACTAACACACTAGAGTAAGAAAAATTTATCATGTTTATGTGCTTAACAAAATTAGAAATTGGTCTTCGCTTTAAAAAAAATGTAATAAATAGAAATCAGTTAAATTAATTTTTCTGAAGCAGAAAAAATAGAATTCTCGTTGTTTAACCTACGCAAATTTTATAATATTAAAGTTTCAAATTATTGTCTGCAGAAGTGGGATCGAAGGTAAGTAAAATTATATTTAAGAACTACTTAAAATATGTCAACTAATATATTTTATGTCGGAAAATGGCGAAAAAACGGTTTTAATTTTTTTTTTGGTATGTTTCACCAAATCTAAAAATCTGAAAAAAATCACGAATATAATTTATGATAAGATTTAGCTGCTGAATTATTTTAAAAGTGGTAAAACATTCATATCATATAAAAAATGCAATTTTAAAAATTCTTGAATTTTTTAAAAACAGAATTTTGAGCCAAGAATGACAAAAAAATTTTTAATCTAATCTTTTTGATACCCTTTATACCCATGATTTTTTTTGTAAAGATCCGTATAAATTTAACGGAGAAAAAAAATACTAATGAAAAATCACATTTTGTTCGATATTTCGAAACGGTGTGGCTCTTTTGGGATGAAACTTTGCACAAAATATTCTTTCATCAGTGTGTTAATTTTGTCCCCTGTAGCAATCGATTACGTGCTGGGGCCTGAAATCACCTTCTTATCCTACTATACCCTTTATATACTTTCTATTTAACCAAAGATAATAGTCGTAGTGACTAAATAGACAATAGAATAAACTTTATATTTGTTTGATGTGACACAATATCCTTTTAATAAAATGAAATATTTTGATTATTTCGTAATAATTTAAGTTGAATAAACTATCTTTCTCTCTGATCCAAGTACTTATGAAGTATATTGAATGTGAAGACGCATTAGTTTGATAAAATATTTGTTTCTCCAGAATGTCATTATAGTTGCTGTAACATAAAAAATGTTGATGAAAACTTACGAATTTATTTGGTTTACCATTCACGTATTTCATAGAATTAAAGTTTATTTTCTACAATCAAATAAAATGATAATAAGAAAAATATATTTAATTAATAGAAACTAATATTTTTTGAAAACAACTAGCTATTGGAATACGATAACCAAATGTTTGATTCAAACGACTTTATATTAATTTTGCGTGCACATATGTTTTGTTATATAACAGAT